TTGCTTCTGCAAGTTTGAAAGAATTCCTCAAGCTTTTGCTTATCTGCATGAGATGAAGAAAAGGGAGTTGAAACCAAATGTTATAACTTATAGTACACTTATTGATGCATTTTGCAAGGCAGGTATGATGCTGGAAGCAATCAAATTTTTTGTTGACATGAGACGCTTGGTCTTTTACCTAATGAAGTTACATATACGTCTCTGATTGATGCAAACTGTAAACTAGGTAATATGGTTGAAGCATTTGCACTGGCAAATGATATATTGGAGGCTGGACTCAGCTTAAACAATGTGACCTATACCACTTTATTGGACGGTCTTTGTGAAGATGGTAGGATGAAAGAAGCAGAGGAGTTATACAGGGGAATATTAGAAGCTGGAGTGGCTCTTAATATAAAAACTTATACTGCCCTTGTTCATGGATATGCTAAGGCTGAGATGCCTGAGAAAGCAATGGATATTTTGAAAGAAATGAAGAAGAAAAGCATCAAATCAGATATATTGTTTACGGAACCATAATATGGGGCCTTTGCAAGCAGAAGAAGATTGAAGAAGCAGAGGCTGTAATACATGAGTTAAAGGATTGTGGTCTAACTTCAGATAGTTATATATACACAACCCTTATGGATGCATATTTTAAGGTTGGAAAAAACAGAGGCACTTAATCTGTTTCAAGAAATGCAGGAACTGGGCATTGAGGCAACAATTGTAACCTTTGGTGTACTAATAGATGGCTTATGCAAAAAGGGATTGATCCAGCAGGCAGTTAATTACTTTGGCCACATGAAGAGCATTGGTCTGCAACCTAATATAATGATTTATACTGCTTTGATTGACGGCCTTTGTAAAAATAATTGCCTTGAAGAAGGAAAAAAGCTGTTCAATGAAATGCTGGATGAGAAAATGAGTCCAGATAAAATTATTTACACTGCTTTGATTGATGGGAACCTGAAGCATAAAAATCCACAAGAAGCTTCATGTTTACGGGTGAAAATGGTTGAAATGGGTATGGAGTTAGATTTGGTTACTTATACTTCATTAATTTCGGGTTATTGTGACTGTGGTCTCTTACAAGAGGCAAAGTCATTGCTTGATGAGATGGTTGCAAAGAACATAATTCCTGACGAGGTTCTTTGTATTCGTCTATTGAGAAAATATTATGAACTAGGAGACATAAGTGATGCTCTGGCTCTGCAAGATGATATGATTAAGAGGAGCCTGATTGCTGGACCCTTTGATGTTACAGCTTTTTCTGTACACACTTAAGAGGGAAATCTTGTTTTTCTTAGTCCATTTTTCCCAGTTATAGTGACCCAGCAATTAGGATTTTGAGGCTTGATTCCAGGATTGAATAACATAATTCAAAAGAATATGGTGCCTAATTATGGAAGGGCAATTGCCAGTTCCACTTGATGCTTCTGGAAGGTACTCTTGTGTGAGTTCTGCTTCCAGGGTTCCCATTGCAAACTTTTGTGTGTAATGAGACCAGAGAATGATATTCTTGTTCCTGAGGATAGTTCTTCTCGGTGAGTGATGACCGTCTGCCTAAAATTTTGAATTATATTCTTTACTGGCCACTTTCATTATAAATTATTAAGTTAGAGCCTTTTCCTTGCGACTATTAAGCTCCATGAAGATTTTCCATTGTTTATTGTTCCTTGCAGGAATCAACCATGTCAGAACAACAACTTATGTGGAAGATGTGAAGGATTTCAGCTACAGTTGATGATTCTTTTATCACTTAGATGTACAAGGTATTTTGTACTTTTTAAACATTTTCAGCTTAATATATACATGAAAAATATTAGCATAATCATCGTAATTGTGTCATCACCACAGCCATTATGGTGTTCATATGCAAATTTATTATAGAATTTCAGGGCAGGAACTATCCCTTTTTACGGTCAGGAAACATCTTTCCATGGTAAATGGTCCCTAGTTTTATCTGAGAAAACACGTTTTTCTTTTGTCTTTTAAGTGTGCTGGATTTTGCAATATAAACGGTTGCTTCTTTATGCCCCCCCCCCCCAAAAAAAATGACTCAAAAGATATTGTCTTTGACTATGCATTATAGTTCTTCGATCCCTATAAGCAGACCAGTGTTCGGAGTTGAGTATCATCATTCCTTCTGAACTCATGTTGGATGGGTCAATTTCTTCTTAGGTTTTCAATCTCAATTCCATCCACTTCTTACCTGATTTCCTAGAAGTGAAATGACTAATTGAAAGCCTTTCATATAATAATTAGTGAACCTAGGAATAATATTGATTGGCTGAAAATTATCTTTTACTTTCAATCTTTAATATAAAGTTAGATAACTAATTTGAGGAGATTAAAGAATTAGTTAAGTTAGTTATTTGTAACAAGCATGTGTTGACTTTCCCGAAATTACCTTATTCAATCATATATATTGAAACTACACTTGGGTGAAAATACTTTATAATTAATAGGGATATTTTTGAGAACACATTAAAAATTTGGGAGAGAAAGTGGATTGATGTCTTATATTAGGATCGTCAACTAATTCTTATATTTAAGAGTAAGGTAGTATAAGATAAAATAAGTAAGCTTAGAAACAATGTTTTCTCATTAGTAAGTTTAGAAACAATGCTTTCTCATTGCCCCATAAGGAAGAGTGTCGGAATCCACTCATAGTCATGGTAAGGGGAATCCTAAAACCTCCTAATTTAGACGAAAACTAATGACGTGGATTCCCCCTATGCTTTCTCTATAATAAGATAGAGCGTAGGAATCCTCTCATGCTAATGGTAAATCCTAAAACCACCTAGTGAAAACTAACAACATGAATTTCGACAACTCTTTTCCCTTTCCTCTCCTCTCTGTTGGATGTATCTGAATGGGGCTTGCTTATGTTAGTAACAGATAGGCACCAAAGTGCGATATAAGAAACAATCTAATGAATGTCCCTATTGAGCGCTAATACTACTCAATTTCAGATTAGGCATCTGATATTGCCTTGATCTCCATTAATTGATTGCCTTTGGAGAACTGATGTTCGAACAGTTATATCGTGCTGAGACTTCACTTGGCTTCCTCACCAGTCAAGATATCCTTTTTAGAGCTACTTGCCACTCATTGGTGGGGAATTCTCCTCCTTAGCTATTAAACCAACCCAGTTAAGCAATCTATAGAATAATAAATACTATTTAATGTAGGAGTAAGCATTTAATGTTGCCTTGATCTTCATCCTTAATCCATGAACATAAACTTATCCAATTTTTGATGCCAAAATCTATGTCAATTAGGACCATTAAAAGACGCAAGGCATCAATCATACCTCCTTGTAGCAACCAACAAAATTGACAAGGAAGAAATGCCCTAAGAAAATCAACTATAGGTGCCACCTGCAAATTCCAGAGAAATGTTAAACTGCCTGAGTCCTAAGACCAGAAAATAAACTGCCAAGTAAATCAGGAGTAGTCCCAAACCCTTGCAATAAAAATTACCCATTTGTTCCCTCGCGTCCCAAATCCAGTACCCACGATCACCTTAACCTTCCTATTCTAGCTTCCTACGTTTAACAAGGGTTCCTAACCTATTAAAATTACCCTACTTAAGCTTTCTTCCAGCTGCCCGTAATAACAACTTCATTGTTGATTGAGCTAGCTAACCCTTGCAACTCCTGAGCTCTCTCTTTATCCTTAGATGAATCCTATGTGTCACTTGCACCCTCAACTTTCTCCCACATATATCTGACAACTGAGAGTTCTAGGAAGTCTGCATATCTTGGATATTTGTACAAATCAAAATGTTGGATGTAGTTATTTTGTTTCATAATCGGGGCTGCTGGAGTTATGGATCTTTTTATTTGGAATTAATAAGTACTGCAAGTATATGTTAGATGGTCTGCTATAATATATATTTTTCTGCACAGGCTCCATATCATACTCTTATTTCATGCATAAACAGTTTTTGACTAAGAACCAAGTATGAGAACCAATTACTTGTGCATGCCAACAGGCTTGAATTGGAGGTACATTCGTATTATCTTCAATGTTGGGAAGGTTACTTTCATGATAGGCACTAGAGAAATTCTTGCATACTTGCATTCTTGGCTGAGTGCTCATTCATCATTCAGACTTTACCTTGAGGACGAGCTAGCTTTCAAGGGAGCTGCAACTGATGGCAACTCAAGCCCAGCGAACGAAAGAATGCATGACTCATCCCACAACTTAGCCCAACAACCTTAGTGGAGAAGGTACAGTTGGTTGAAGTTCACACTACATGATTTATAGAGAATATTTATTAGGCCAGTGGTCCTTAAAAGTAATGTGGCTTCACATTGGAAGGGCACCATTTGAGGGTTGCTATCTTGATATTTTCCTTTTTCTTGTTTGTTTTCGCTTTTGTTACATTCTGAGCATTCTCGCTTGACAAGGCAAGCAAATGATTAATCATCTTTTTTAGTTGGAGTTTCACCCTCGTGATATATAAATAAAGCACAATCTTGCCTTCTTCACGAACCCGGCCCGCCCTTAATTCTTATCTCAAAATTCTTATGTTTGCCCTCTTTGGTTTTCGAGTTTGATTGGATCTGTTGTTTTGTGATGTTCTTGGTTTTCAATACCACAGCTAATCAATTCAATTGTCTCTTATCAACAAGAAAAAAATCGTCTCTATCCCCCCAATGACTCGCTACTCCCTCTCACAACTAAATAAGTCTCCTTTTCAAACAGCTTCTGTCACTTAAAACCTAAAGCTCGGGTGCATTTCCCCTCGTCTCGCAAGAAAAAACCTAGCCTCTTTTTTCTCAGGAAAACAAGTCTCTTTTTAAAATTTCTTTCGTTAATAAAAAAAATTGGTCTAATTGATGAAGGCAAATTTACAAGTCATTAAGGCTTGAGTTTAAATTTTACTATTAATGCAAGCCCTCTGTTAACAGGTAATTTATAATTATCATTATAATTTAAGCACATCTTTATTACAAAAAGTTGGTCCAATTGTTATTAAGCCCATCTTTCAATCCCAGAGAACCTCCAAAGTTAAAGTGAGGGAGTAAATCCAAAGGTTATTTGTTCTAGTCGCCCGAAAGTGAGAACTATCAAAAGACTGCGTCGACGCACGCACGCACGCTAATGCAAACAATTTTCTCTTACTATTTACATGATTAAATGCATTTCCCAAAAATGTGAAAATGCTTAGGAAAGCTAATTTATACATGAACTATGAAGACATTTGATCAGAACTAGGACGAATGGTGAGGACAAACCCAACTCACGAATATGGCTGCACTTCGAAGTTTGAACACTCAATATCATATTCCAAACCTCTTTGAACCACACTCGGAGCAAAATTTAGATGCTTCTCTCAGAAATGGGGCCCCACATTCATCACAAAACTTTGCAGGACTCGATGGCTGCAACGCAATGGTAAAGCTTCTCAGTCAGGAAAAGGACAGCAGTTACACAATATCAAGTTATCTCAATTATCAAAATCAATTGCCCTGCTAAACTCCCATGGAGCATAACAAGATAACACTGAGTCTTCCACTATGATAGAAGCCCAGAGCAACAACAGAAGAATTACAACGAATTGATAAATCGCAAATCTGCATTCATTAAATAAAATAAGAGCCTAAAAAATAAGAAACAAGCGCAGGGCCGAAACACAAATCACACACACATAAAACATAGCAATTATGAGTAAAATGTGCCTTTTATCAGAATATAGAAGCAAATTCATTTTAATTGGATTCGGAAAGACATTGACATAAATAAGGGATCATCATTCACATTTCCCTAAAAGTGACATCGTTGCTGGTATTTTTATAGTTCTCAGATATTATTACTGCTAGAAATAGCGTAGATAATGGAACTATTTTGGCATATGTGCATATTAGCTATCTCGTTGGTCCCTTGTCTCCAGATTTGCAATTGCCTTATCGCAGCTTCACTGATACCTATAAGCACCCATGTATTATGCTTCAATGAACATCCATAAGAATTCGAGACAACTTGTCATGGCTTCGGAGCCTTAAGCTCCCTCTAAATTCTTGTGCGTTCATTGCCATTTTTTTCATTTCTACTTGGGTCAATGACCTACATTTCACCAACTTGAATCTTTCTAGATCAGTCTGGTTTCCAACTTATCCAAACACCCTGAAATCACTGTGCACTTTTAGTGCTTTGGTTCATACAAGAATCTCAGATCATAGGAAGTTTCGTTTTGTTAGCTTTACCATATGGTGACCAATTCTTGAGATTTAAATTACAGAGTTTTTTGCCTCCTTTTTTACACACACACACACAACTATTTTCATTCAATAGAGTTTGAAGGGGAAAAAACCCTCAATTTCTACAAAATATACTCACCAGTATATGCAGGCGTCCACCAACATGGCCACTTGTGAGTGGTTGTAAGCAGGGCAACTGTTGAGATATTGTTGGTGACTGGTGAGCATGAGAAATTTCAGGTAAGTGTGAGGAAGGACCACAGTGATTGTTGTGAGAATAGGGGCCTGCATGCTGACTCTGATGCATAGTTTGATGGTTCTGGTGAACTGGATGAAACTGAGGCTGATGAGCCAAGCTTGCATGTGATGTTTGCATGGAGTTTGCTGCTGAAAATACATGAAGAAATAAAAATGGTGCCTATGTTCTAAATTTCTAACGCATCAGCAAGATCAAAATCAGTCATGTCTTCTCGTCAGTTCAGTGGAAGATTCACATTTCACATTAACCATTAAGATTGCAGTGAAAATAGGGGCATGGGGGGAATATAAAGAATTTGATCTCAAAGAGAAAATAAGGATACAATCTTTAACTTTAACCATCATATTTATTTCTTCCTTTCTGCTTGTTGTCTAACCAAACATTTCAAATTTTCTTTCCTTCTTTGTTCTTTTTCTTTTTCCATTTCTTCTAAATCTAGATAATTATAAGAAATTTCATTCCCCCTTACAATATGGTGACATGATATCACCAATTCCATCAACTGTTCTCGTCTAGACCATGCAATAGTTGGTGTTTCGGCAAAACTGATAAGGTGATCTGTATTGATAAGAGTTGTCAAAATAGTACAATTTGCACAGATAATAAACCTCAGCAACAAGTTTTGCAGGGTGAACTGGGAAATCAAATGAATTAAAATGTAATTGAGATGATGCAAAAGACAGGTATCAAGTAGTCATGTGACTGGGGCACGTCAGACCCCAACGGCCACAAAACTGTAAATGTGGTTACAATGATTACCGTCATCTCTGCAATCTTCAAATGAATTGGTTTGAAGTGACAAAAACACTAATTGCTGACCAACCAATTGAAAGACAAACTTATAAGAAAAGCAAATTAACTTGTGCTTCACTTACAGAGCGAAATCCTTGAGAAGTACTCAATGTAGACGAGTTGTCAGCTCCAGGATAACTCTGCAGAATTGAGTCAAGTCAGGACCATGAAACACTAAATGAAGTTTGGATTTACAAAAGCCCATAAACTAGAATGCAGTTACTCTCTCAATATTGTATGACCAAGCTATTGACGTGGTTTTATGAATATCAATCATGATTATGGAGTCAAAAATAGCCAAGCGCATAAATTAATAATTTGAGCTGAGCCAACTGAACTTCATTGCCAAGGTTCATACATAGAAATTGCATTTTTAGTAATGCTTAAAAAGTTGCAGTCACAGAAACTTCTCTTAGAAGTTTAGAAGGAGCATTTCATTGCCAAAATGAGCCATATTATGCTTACAGGTAGACCAGAGATATTGGCCATCATGTTTGATGCTGTACGCCTAAACTTGTGTCTTGGAGAATAAAATTTATAGTCACGTGCAGAGATAGCAACCTCGTGGCGACCTGTCAATCTCTTAAACCTGAAACAAACAAGTCAGACAAGCATTTGCAATTGGTAAAGTAAAACACCAAGATGCTCAACTTACCACTCAGCATCATCAATAGGCATGGCATCTGGTTTTTCAACAATATTCAAACCATTGACTACCACAAAGCGGACACGCTTCTCTTCTTGAATTACTAGTTCTGGAAACCTTGTCCTTGTTTCCATGGAAGTTGCCAATTCTCTTCTCTTGTATGTGCATGGTCCTGACGGGGAGCAGCTTGATAAAGACATCAGTGAATCAAAAACTTGCGAAGAAAAATAAATAGAAGTCCATCCACGTCACAATGCATTAGTTTCCCAAAAATGTCCAACTCACTCTTATCTTAGAGGGTAAGTAACAGAAGAGTGCGTAAACTTAAATCTTATAGAAGATCTCATTATTATGCATTTATTTATTTTATAGATAAAATTAAAAGCATATTAGGTTAGTTATGATTGGTTTGACCACGGTCCCACTAGTGAACTTTGAACCAATTCCTCGACTAGTCTGAGGACTGATTCAATTCTCATAATTTTCTTTCTTTTTTTTTTTTTTTTTTTGGGGGGGGGGAGGCGGCGGAGATTTCTGTACCTTTCTTTGGAAATTTCTTGGCAAGTTTTCGGTACAAACCACCAGCTGCTTCTAGCGCTACCCCAATTGTCTTTTCACGAATGCCATTCAAGGAAGCAAGCCGGGTGTTGACATCATTTACTAAGCTTTCGTACATGTTTGCAATATACATCAGAGGTAAAGCAAAACTAGGATCTCCTTCATACTGGGCCTCTCTTGTCTTCCTTTTATTGAGCTTATCTTGCCCACACTGAGCAGTGTAATCAGCCTCAGAATCAGCCACTTCAATTACATGGTCATCAATAAAATGATCCACAACAATTTGTAGAAATCTTGCCCTGGCTGATTCGATGGGTGAAACATCTAGTTTGAAGTTGCGATAAAATGAGTTTGCAACAACTTCATCTTAAATGATCACATATATTTAACCCAAAGACAAAAATTCCTATCAACTAAAAGAATAAACAAGTCCAAGAAATTTTAGTACTTCACCATCAATGGTCAAGATATTATAAGGGTCCCTTGAAGAGTCGTTGTTCTCGAGACTGGAGCGATCCTCTTCAACTTCCACATTGTGAAGTGGCAAGGAATTCCTATGGGGTTCATGCATGCAGTCCTGCAAAACAAGTACAAATCATCTGTATAATTAAATTACTCTACAACCACAAGCATATACTTTCTTGCTCAAGCCCACCCATCAACCGGCTGCCTGAAAAGTTGAATAAACTATGCACAACGGAGACAATCCATGATGACAAGGATACAGGACATGAATCACATAAATAGCGTGAAAGAACAAATTCTGCAGTGTTTGTATGAAAATTGAAGTTATGTATCAGCTCTGATAGAAAGACCGCATATGCATAGGACAAGATACGGCTCCCACTTTTAGGCTTTAAACCAAGGGGAAATTTTTTCCTTAATAGGGGGGGGGGGGGGGACACCAGGCAATACAACTTACGACGGCACCAGTATCATTATCATTGTCCAAGCTATCTTCGGTGACAGCTTCGCGATCGACCTCGGCTTCGATGTCATCCATATCGGAGGTTCTACTCTCAACGGTGTTGAGAACGTGGAGTGGGCCCTCAATGAACGAAGTGGGAGAGTTGAGATTATAGTGCTGCACAGGAACCCTAGTCCCCATTTTCCACTGACTCGGAAAATGAAAAATAGAGGCTGATTTCGTACTCCAAAGTCAGCCAAATTCGGGAATTTCTTTCCCCTGATGATTTTCCACCTTAAGTAGAAAAACTTGGTTCCTAGAAATGAAGAAGAAAGAACCCATTAAATTGAGTTATACAGTGAAGTAGAAGAAGAGAGTTGGAGGAGGAAAAGGAGGACAAACCACTAGCCAGAACTCAACGGCTATGCGGAGAAGAGGAGGGAAAGATTAAGAATCCAAAGCTGAGACCATACCTGAGGTCCTCGGCAGGTCAAAGCAGCCCCCAAACCTAAGCCCGATCTAGATGACTTGCCAAACCAGAGCTTTTCCGGCTTCACACCAGAAATTATTTATTTTTTATTTATTTTCATTTCAATTCAATCACAGGTTCTGTTTTAGGACTTAATTACGTTCAATTTAGATGTGTTTTTTATTGGCTTTCGAATGTGCTCATAAAAAATGTTTATTTTTATTTAAATTTTCAATGAAATACTTAAAATACACATTTTTCACAATACTAGTTTTTTGTCAATAAATACTAATGTTTTATAAAAAGTGAAAAAAAAGAGAAATTTGACTAAAAGTTCCTGTTTAAAAACTTAGTGGGTTAAAAGAACTTAAATTTAAGCAAGTGTAACTTGTCCGTAAGTGCAACATATCTTCCGCTATGTGTAACATATCATCAATAATGTGCAATAATTATTAATACTAGAGTTGTTGCACATAGCAAAAGATATGTTGCACACAACGGAAAATTTATTACACCCATAGATTACACTTGTACGCACTCAAATTTAAGTCTTTTTAGTCAATTAAATTTTTAAACAAGCATTTTTTACCAAATTTCCCAAACCAAAAAAAAACTGCTTGCCAAACCGGGGAAAAAAAAGGAGAGAAGGAAATAGGAAGCAAGCCAGGAGGATATAAATGGGGACAATAACCAAAAAAAGAAGTTGAAATTTTGTAAATACCAAACAAGAAATATCAACAAAAATTTATTGTCATTTGTAAATTCAGACTTGTTAATACTAATTAAAGTTATATTTTACTAAACCCGATTTGGAATTTGTAATTTTCAACTTCTTTTTCTGTCATTCTCCCACATAAATGAGGGGAAATTATTTTTAAAAAATAATACATAGTTTGATATTTTGTTATTAATATTTTTAAACAATTTTACAATGTAGATGGCAGAAAAAAAATATCATACATATAAAAAATTTTCACAAAAAGGACATGAGGAAATTTTAAATTAAATTAAAAAATCAAAGTCCATTTTTTTTAAATAATCTAAGACAATACTACCGATCTAGTTAATTAATTTAAATAGATTAAAAAATTAGTTAAGTTATTTATTTGTAATAAATAGGTATTGTCTTTCCTAAAATACTCTTGTGTATTAGTTGGAATTGCCATTTAATATAACTTTTAATATGTGTAATTACTACAAGGATTATCTTGAAAAAATAGATAAATATAAAAGACAGAGTGAGTTTTAAGTTTATATTTAGGATCAAATTAAATATCAAACTAGTTATGATTAAATTAAATGTGAAACTAATTATTATTATATTAAGGATAGTGAAAAAATAAATTAACACATACAATTGAAATAGCATAGGTTTTCCATTGCTGGAAATGCTTGATGCATATTATAAATGAAAAATATTGCTACATTTTATTTTTATTTATGCATTTACATTCTATTCTAAAATTTTAGAGAAAATGACAAATAAAGACCCCTAAATTATTAAAACTACACAAAGATCACCTGAATAAGTAAAATTACTATGAAGGACCCAGTCCCATATTGCAAAATATGAAATCTTAGAGAAATGTCTGAAATGCCCCTCAGTCAAATTGTAATTTGGTCTCCTGAAATTGTCGTCCGCTAAAGTAAACTTGTTATTTCCCATAGTCAACTTGTCATTTGGCATACCTTCAATCAAGTTGTGATTTGATCTATTGAAGTTGTTATTCGTTAAAGTGAACTTGTCATTTTCTATAGTCAACTTGTCATTTGACTGAGAGGTATTTCAGACATTTCATCAATATTTCATATTTATAATATGAGACTGGGTCCTTCACGGTAATTTTACTTATTCAGATGACCTTTGCATAATTTCAGTAATTTGGAGGTCTTTATTTGTGAATTTCACAAAATTTTAAGACTTTTCCAAGCCAATACTCTGGGGGCACCGTAGACAATATATAATTTGTTCATAAAATATTGCGAACAGCGTAGCTTGGCTGCAAATAACTCACGTGGCTTCCATGGAAGCAGATAATTCTATGCCTGCCATTGTTCCACTCGTCAAATTTTGAGTGGCCAATGACCTTCCCATGCGTGACGAAATCTAGTGGACGATAAGGTATATATGGAACCAACCTTTTCTATACACTATTCTCTTCCAAATCTTATCCCTTCATTAACAATAATGGCCATTTCCAGTTCTGCAGACTGGTCTTTGGCTTCAACTACCAACTGCTGCAGAAGAAGAACCTACCACCTTCTTCATACTCTCGTACCCACTTCTCAATTCGCTTCCTTTTCCTCTGTTCCTCACTCCAATCCTCGATTCTTCACTGTTAGGTTCTCAGGCTCGCCCACTCCGATCTTGGAAGAAGAAGCATGTCAACCCCATGCTCCTGTAATCCAATTCGATGTGAAATTTTCAGATGATGTGTCGCAGTACTCAAAGCCTTCTGGTGCTGAGAATCTGAATGAGTTCGTTTGTGGGTTATTTGAAGATCCTCAAACGGAGGAACTTGGGTATGAATACTATCAAAGATTGAAAGAGAGGCCTGAGTTTAGACCAGAGGAATCAACTTTAGAGCATGTGATCAGGTATTTGCTGAGATTTAGGAAATGGGGCTCCATTTTATCTGTTTCAGAAGACCTGAAGATTTATTCTGTGTTGCCTGATGTAGCTACATGTTCTATATTGATTAGTAAATGCATAAGATCTAGGAAGTTCAGGATTGCCGAGGCATTTCTTGATGTTTTCCAGGATTCTCAAAGTACTGAAGTTGCTGTTTCAGCTTTTGATTCCGCCTTGAGAAGCTACAATAAGCTTCATATGTATAGGAGCAGTGTTTTAGTCTTTGAACGCATGATATCCACCAAGTTAACTGTTGCAGATTATTCCAGATGCTATCTACACGCTATGGAGGCTTACATGAAACTTGGTGATAGTGACAAAGTGGTCCAGTTGTTTCAAGAACTTGGAAGTGAACGATCATTGATTACTTCAAAAAGATATTGGTCTGTGATATATGGCATTTTATGTGAGTCATTAGGCCAATCAAGACGAGCATTCGAAGCTCTAAAGTACTTCAGGGACATGAATAAAAGAGGGGTTATTAATGATTCTATATATTCTACATTAATATGCTCCTTTGCAAGTTTGCGTAAGGTGGATGTAGCAGAGGAGCTTCTTAGAGAAGCAAAGAGGAAAACAAGGATAAAGGATCCAGAGGTGTACTTCAAACTTGTGTTGATGTACGTTGACGAAGGTTTAATGGAGAAGACTCTTGAAGTAGTTAAAACAATGGAAAATGCAGGTGATGCAGATGCCTTACATATTTTGATTCTTTAATTGAGTTTTGATGAAGGGATAATATATATATCTATATAAATTGTAGGAAGCTGCACACTGTTCATATTTTGTCCACTCTAACTAGAATTATATGTATTAGGAGATTTAAGATAGAGTTTCTTTTTGTCATAAGATACAGACATTACTACTTTACATTGACTTATTTGCAAACAAAGACTTCATCTTGAATGAGATAAATGTACATACATGTTGCAAGTTAATAGGACTGAGTTTTTATTATTTCTCGTTTATTTCATTCCCTCTTGTCATTCATTTTTCATTGCATATTTTCCAAAACCAAACATATAGTCAAAAGAAAGCCAGTCAACACATTACAGTGGAAGAGAGAAGATGCGCTTCTAAGCACATAAGCACTGGAAATGTCACAGATTACAGGGCATATGATGACTGTTTTCTTACCGTACTAGTACAGCCCATTTGTAGTTGCATTTGTTATCTGCTTTCACTCGCAAACCAAACCCGCCATCTTTATCAAAGTTAGCTCGATCTACTTATAATCACCTTCTTCATGGTCCAAAAAAGGTTGCCACAAAAATCAAGTTTATTTCTAGAAGATAGACCCAAAAACCAACCCCTCCTTTTGATTACTTGAAGTCATGTTACTTCTACAATGTTTCCTTGTTTCACATTGCATATACTGATACCGGAGCTAATGATTCTGCATTGGCAGGTATCAAGGTCACTGACTGCATACTATGTGCTATTATAAATGGCTTCAGCAAGAGGAGAGGATTTAGAGCTGCTATCAGTGTTTATGAGCAACTAGTTTCAAAAGGTCATGAACCAGGACAGGTCACCTATGCATCAATCATAAATGCTTATTGTCGTATTGGCCAATACACTGAAGCAGAGAAGGTGTTCTCGGAGATGGAACAAAAGGGCTATGATAAATGTGTTGTGGCCTACTCAAGCATGGTTGTGATGTATGGAAGAACAGGAAAGCTAAGAGAAGCCATGAGGCTTGTGGCTAAGATGAAAGAAAGAGGGTGCAATCCCAACGTGTGGATTTACAATTCTTTGATAGACATGCACGGGAGGGTAAAGGACTTGAGGCAGGTTGAGAAGCTATGGAACGAAATGAAGCGAAGGAAAGTCGCGCCGGATAAGGTTACCTACACGAGCATCATTGTAGCGTATAGCAAGGCAAGAGAGTTTGAAAAATGCATCAAGTTTTTCAAGGAGTACAGAATGAATGGTGGAGAGATTGATAGGGCTATGGCAGGTGTGATGGTGATGGTGTTCTCAAAGGTTGGACAAGTTGATGAACTAGTAAGACTATTAAGGGACATGAAGATGGAAGGGACAGGATTGGATGAGAGGTTGTATCAGTCTTCTTTGAATGCTTTAACTGAAGCCGGAATGCAAGTTCATGCCAGGTGGTTGCAAGAGAGCTTCAAAGTAGCATGAGGTATGATCTCCTCTGATTTAAGGATCCAGTGTGGAGAAAGATAGAAAGAATAGTGAGACCCACCTCTCAAGTAGGTCTGTGTGTGTGTGTGTGGGGGGGGGGGGGAATAGGCCTTTCAGTCACTAGAAGATATCTGTCAAAAGTGAAGCTAGAAACACTAGAAATGCTCTGGTATGTGTATATAACAATGTGTACCTTTCGTGTGAAATGGGGCTTCCAAATAAATCAATGTGTTTGGAAGATAGCTCTTGTAATTTTAATGTAAGTAAGGAGCAAGGAC